CGTTATATCAAATTGCAACGAAAGTTTATTTATCGGATTTGTACGCAGCAATCATTGTTCTCAATTTTCTCAACAATGATCTCTACCGAACTTTCAACATATTTCTACACCCCTTTTGCTTGGTCGATGAGCCTTACTCTAATGTCTATACATTCATTAGAATTCATATTATTTATTCACGCCTATGTTACTGAATGCAAAATTCACTACTCTCGAACATTCCACGATTGTTGCAATTTTCACAATACTACAATTCAGAACAGAGAGTTTAGAGCTAGTCTCTAAAGGAAACGATTATATTCGTCGTATTCAGTTTTATTTGTACAGCATACACAGATGTATGTATGAATACGTTTTTCACTCACGAACTCAAGTTTACACGTACTTTAAGTACTTACAAGACAGTTTTATCTTGGCTATTAACAAAGATACTTATCCTTGTTTGCTGGAAGGGAGCTATTGTAGCATCTCACCATTTATTCTTTATACTTCAATGATTAGTCGTTTGTTTAAACTATTCGATAATAGTATCGACCATAATTTTATATTTGTAATAATTCGATTACAGTATCGATTATTGTATATTTGATTGTTTGTGTGTGCATGCTTACTCGCTTATCACATGTCTAACCTATTATTGTCTGACTATAAATACTTAGTTATTCTTCAGCTCATGGAGAGTTGGTTCACTCACCTTTTCCAATTCACTTCGCTCTGGAGTACAGTAGTCGGGCGCGAAAGACTTAAAGTTCACAGCTAACTATTACTTGATAAAAAAGAAGGTTTAACTATAGATATGTACACAGGAACTTGATGTACAATATTTTCAATTAGAGTTATGGATATTAGTGTTTTCACAAATTTGAAATCATTAATCAGTCATTGTTAGACCACCGTTAGAAACCTGGAAGCACTGAAAGACGGCCGTCTCACCCTGGTATTGGACTAGTCATCAGTGGCAGTGCGCATCCACGACTCCAGCACCTCACAGGATTCGAACCTGGGACAATTCGGTATTATGCGCGAACAACGCCTAACCATTGAACCACTCGGCCAGTTTGATTCAACAAAATTCGGTGTTAAGTAAATTACACCTTTCAATTTACTAAATACATTAGTAAACTTCAATAATTTTGTTCAAGTTATGGAAAAAAAATTGTTCAATAAAAAATGAAATAACTAACATTTCGAATTTAATAAATATATGTATATACTTTATTTTTCATCAAAAAGGGAATATGTGTTTCTTTATTTTTTCAAAAACTCAAAGTTCATCTAAGACGTTGTAATTTAAACTAGAGACTAAATATAATGCATCAGACTATATATATGTACATGAGTTTGGTTATTGATTGTAATATTTGTTAGATAAATATAGTCGCTTATAAATATTGTATTTTCTTAAATTTTAGATTCTTTATCAACATCGAAATTTTTATAATTTGTACTCCTATTTTTTTTTTAATATGGCGTGAACTAGTTTTCATCGGATGCTGCGAAAAAATGTAGTTCCTATTATATACTCTAAAATAATCAAAGATTATACTCCGATTGATACAAAACGAGAGGATTATGTTATGTAATAAAAAATAAAACATTAAACAAACAAGAAATCTTTTTTGGGGCAGAGTTCTGGAGGTTTGCGTTTTCACACATTTGAAATCATCAATCAATCATTGTTAGACCACCATTAGAAACCTGGAAGCACTGGACGGTTGTTTCGTCCTGGTATGGGACTCATCAATGGCAGTGCGCATCCAAGACTCCTGCCCCTCGCAGGATTCGAACCCGGGACCTTCGGTATTGTAGACGAACGCCTTACTATCGGACCACTGGACAGAAGTCATTTGATACTGTTTCCTATTCGTTTGATTTACCATAATGGTGGATGCTATTTGCAAAGTGGCATATAAGTAGTATATAGTTAAACGTTGCCTAGAAATAGCTAGCACAGAGTAAAGGGAAAGTAAAGAATGGATGTAGTGATCAAAGTTTATTGAAGTCCAGAATAGATTTGGGAGAAGATAACTAGTATCCAGCTTGGATCGTAAATAGATGTTTGAAGTATAAGTATACATTATATATATATATATATATATATATATATATATATATATATATATATATATATATATATATATATACAGTATCTTCTCGAAATATATGTGTATTTCATCCGATCTTGGCTCCACCTGGAGCCTCTTTGGGGCTACTCTGCCGGTCCCTAGCCCGAATGAAGGAGCAGGATTGGGCATGAGTTTGGCGACCCCATCTCGTAGAAAACTAACTCGCTAAAAAAACGCTAACTGGAAAAAAAGTTTCAAATCATTTTTATTTAGAGTTATGGAGATTAGTGTTTTTACAAATTTGAAATCATCAATCAATCATTGTTAGACCACCATTAGAAACCTGGAAGCACTGGACGGCCGTTACATCCTGGTATGGGACTACGCATCAGCAGTGCGCATCCATGACTCCAGCACCTCGCAGGATTCGAACCCGGGACAATTCGGTATTGTGCGCGAACGCCTAACCATTGGACCACTAGGCCGGAATCCAACAGTGTTAATTTTTACTCTTCCCTCGATCTTGAATTCGCACGTTATATACATTTGTTTTTCGATAAGTGGTAACCACTTTCAAAGTACATTATTTAAACCTGTGGCTATCTAATCGTAAAAAGTTGATAGATTGCTTTTAAATCAGTTATATCTTACAAATTTTTTAAACGTTTGATGAAAATCAAAACTAACACAAAGTTTGCTATTCTCTTAAGGATAGTAAGTAATTCAGCAAATGTATGCTTTATTCTATCTACCTGATGACAGTTTTTTTCTAATTCAAAAGTTACCATCCAAATCAACTCGATATTAAGATATCACATTTAATAGAAACAGGTTAATTTTTTTCTGTAGACAATCAGTATATACAATGTAATACATTCCTAAAATAAGTTAAGTTTCTTTATATAGTCATAATAACTGATTGATTTTATTCTTGTTTGAAACTTTGCAACAACATGAACCATCGACAACTTGTAGGATCTGGTTGAAAATGAGTGTAATTATTATACAATAAGTCAGTAACATCAGTAGATAAAAATATGTGCTGAACAAACTAGGGCCTTTCGGAACTCAATGACTTGATAGAGCATAGATTGATGTTTGAATGAGAAAACACTGTGTTCAAGTATCATTGTGTATATCAACTCTGATCTGTAGTTAAATTTAGTTGATGAAATAAAAATGAGAAAAAACAGCGTGTCTCATGAACTTGGCTATTAGTTCACATTCCATTTTATTCTATGAAACGTGAGATATAAAATAACAATACCGAGATACATTCAAATCATCAATCAATGATTGTTAGACCACCACTCGAGTTCTGGAAGCACTAGGCGGCCGCTTCGTCCTGGTATGGGGCTCGTCAGCAATGTGCATCCACGAATCGTGCAGCTCGCAGGATTCGAACCCAGAAGTCGTGGATACACAATGTTGATGAGTCTCAGGTTGAAACAGCCATCCAGTTATTCCAATTTTCTAATGGTAGTCTAACAATGATTGATTGATGATTTGAGATGTGTAACAAACACTAATCTTCATAACTCTAATTGACGGATATACTATTAAAATGGACATCAACTTCAGTTCATAATATCAATCTTGGAAAAATAAACAACCCCTACAAATACGAGCAAAATATCTATTGATGAAAAGATTCATTTAGAAAACAAACTGTATCATAAAAATCACTTAGTAGAATGCTTCATCGAACAACTTTCAACCAAAACCTAAATCAGGATTTTCAATACAAATGTCAAGACACTTCTACTGTATGGAGCGGAAACATGGAGAACTACTAAAGCCATCATCCAGTAGATACAAGTAGTAATGAACAGTTTTCTACGAAAAATATTTCGGATTCGTTGGCCAGACACGATCATCAACAACGTACTGTGGAAGAGAAGAAACCAGATTCCAGTGGAGGAGGAAATGAGGGAGAAGCGGTGGAAGTGGACAGGACACACACTGCGAAAAGCACCTATCTGCGTCACGTGACAAGTCCTCACATGGAACCCTCAAGGCAAAGGGAAAAGATGAAGGCCAAGAAACACATTACACCGAGAAATACAGAAAGATATCAGAAGAATGAACAAAAATTGGACAGAACTGGAAAGGGAAGCCAAGGACAGAGTTGGTTGGAGGAAACTGGTGGGCGGCCTATACTCCATTGGGGTTAACAGGCGTAAGTAATTAAGTAAGTAAGAATGTTTCATAACAGAAACTTAAATGTTTCATGGTACCAAAAAGAAAAACAAACAAATGAAACTTGAACACTGTTATTATTTCAGTTATATTTAACTAAAATAATAATGATAATAATAATAATAATAATAACACAATGAATAACTTAGTCTGATTTATGCTCATTTATACAGAATAGAAAGTTTTTCTAATTGCTTTCATATAACTACGACTACTACTCACTACTACTACTACTACTAGCTACTGTAATAAACCGGAAATTTTACAATATATTATATATAAAAACATATTTATGTATACACTTCGATATGCAATAATGTTTCTCGCTTAACTTTTTACACTTCATTTCATCATAGTAAAACAACGTGCATTCGTAACGGAAAAAAATGAGATAACAACATTTAGGCGAAATTTAGATTTTGATAGAAATTTGAGAAAAAAAAATTAACAAATAAAGTAAATAAATACATAAAAACACAATTAAAAAGGTAGCGAGAAAAAAAAACGAAGTGACCAAAATTAAAAATGGCGTTAAAAATATTAAGTGTCTAGTTTAAATTGTTCAATTGTTTACAATCAAAAATTATGTTCAAATATTCTATCACAATGAAACAGATTATTTTAAAAAAAAAGAGAGGAGTAGTTGGTGTTTAAATACAATGAAAGACTTTTAATTTACAGCAGCATTTAAAACAAGAAAAGTAATCATATCAATCTGTTCAATATTCAATGCTGTTAAAGTTTCGATGCTAAACACCGACTATTCAATATAGCTAATATGACAACTTGTGATGCAGTGACACTACCAATTAATGATAAAGTATATGACCAATAAGGTAATTTCCAATAAGTATACAATAAATTACCTGTTAATACAGCACTAGCTGATATAAATAAAATCATTAATTTGATTGTAGTACACACTGGTCCAGGTATCCATTTACTACTGCATGCACCAACTAGATCACAAAAAAATATCAGCCCTAATCCACCGACACCAGCAGATAATAATATGATGACAATTAGGATTGGAATAGTTTTAAAACATTGTGTATATAAATTTCCACATGGCCAATCGGCTGTAATCAATGCATAACTCAATAGACCAATGGATAAAGCCAACAATGGGAAATGTAAATGTTGTGGATTAAATAATCTTCCAGGCATGATTGATAAAAATTGGAAAAAAATTTCAATGATACATATGTGTTATGTGTATGCGTGTGAATTGAAAAAATTTAAATCAATCGGAAATAGTTGTCGATCGATAGGACAAATAACAATATTCGTAATAATAATAATAGTCCGCTGACAGAGTAATGTATTTTTTTTATTTTTGGTCAATAATAAAACTATTCAAGTGATTTTTCGATTTATCATTTATCATCACCAACATAATAGTAGTAGTAGGTTCAATATGTGTATAAATATAAGTAAATTAATGTGATTTATGTCTGGTTATGATTGGTTAAAATAGTTTTCTTCTTAAATGATCATCTATGTAAGCATCATATGTGTTCACATTGTGCATATGTTGTTCACATTATGTCGTTTTATGTGTCATTGATCAGCTTGCTCAATTAGCTTGTGTGTGTTTTGTGTGCGCTTTTTACAATATCTCTTACGGTGCTGTTTATTTGTATACTCAGTGTAGTGATTTGTAGTTAATGAGAATAGTGTGTGTAACGTGTTTTTAAGCAAAGTATGATGATCTGATTTATTAAGATCTCATTAAAATATTGATAGAAATGCTGGTGTTTTAAATAAAATTCCTTAGTTTACATTTAGTTAGACTATGGTTGAGTTAAAATGAATGATTGAGAGATTGAAAGGTCATGTTGTATTGGAAAGTGATAGTTGTATATATATATATATATATATATTCATTCATTTTTTGCCACGATAGTACACAACATGGTGGTAATCGATAACGGATGAGTGAGAGAGAAAGCGAGAGAAAGCAAGAATAAACGAAATACTTAAAAATAAACTAGTTATTTTTTAAGTGAAATCATAGAATATGTATTTCATGATTTTAATTATTATCTTTAGACAAATAATGACAGTTATCCTGAAACCCTCAAGGCAAAAGGAAAAGAGGAAGGCCAAAGAACACACTACGCCGAGAAATAGAGAAAGATATGAGAGGAATGAACAAACATTGGACAGAATTGGAAAGGGAAGCCCAGGACAGAGTTTGTTGGAGAAAACTGGTGAGCGGCCTATACTCCATTGGGGGTAACAGGCGTAAGTAAGTAAGTAAGTAAGTAAGTAAGTAAGACAAATAAGGACACAGTCTATCAGAATTGTTCTTTCTATTATGTATTGTTAGGAACCGAAGCGAGTTAAGCAACTATTGGAAATAAGAAGGCGGATGTTATTGATTTTTGATGCTCTGTAAGAGTTGTCAATGCTGCTTACCACCATACGTCCTAGTGTAAATGGATATTTGATCGTGATATTAATAACAGTCAATAATTTCTGTAAAACGTTTTTATTGATCAATGTAAATCTAATGGGAAATGATATTTTGTTGATAGCGATTGTCATTCAAATCTAAATGAGTTTGATTTAAACTATATTACTTACTTACTTACTTACTCCTGCTAACAACAGTGGAGCACAGGTAGCCGACTAGTATTCTCCAACCTACTCTGTCCTGAGCTTCCCTTTCCAATTCTGTCCAATTTTTGTCCATTCTTCTCATATCTTTCTCTATTTCTCGGCGTAATGTGTTTCTTGGCCTTCCTCTTTTCCCTTGTCTTTGATGGTTTCAAGTGAGGGCTTGTATTATAACTCAGTTTTTGTGCTTTTTTCAGTGTGTGTCCTATCCATTTTCACCGCTACTTCCTGATTTCTTCCTCCACATTTAAATAAATTTACATAAATTCCTAAAACAGACCTCGTTTGCCTAATTATATTCAACGGAATAAAAAATTATTCAGCAAGGCTTTTTTAAAAATAGATTGCCAACTGTTAAAAATAATTGTGATTTATGTTTGATAGATATGAACAAATAAGTGAAAAGTGCGGATCTTTGTGAAAAAATTCTAGGATCAATCTGTTAGGATATTCATCAAATATCTGAAGAGAATTATTTTTGTAAGTCGAATTCTATTGGTCAATTCCTACTGGTCAATATTATGGTCGTCCTAGATATCAATGTCACGTAATCCAAAGTTGTTTCCTAATGGTCGTCCTTACTGTCAATGTCACAGACTTTAATGTTGTTTTCTATTCGAACTAACTCTATAAATACGCATTATTTGTAACGTTTTATGACTTGGACGCGGATCCCTATTCCGGGATCCTGATTCTTTTCTGGACTCGGACCTCATGATTTTAATTATTATCTTTAGAAAAATGATACAGTCTATCAGAATTGTTCTTTCTATTATGTATTGTTAGGAACCGAAGTAAGTTAAGCAACTATTGGAAATAAAAAGGCTGATGTTATTGACTTTTGATGCTGTAGATGTTGCTTACCACCATACGTCCTAGTGTAAATGGATATTTGATCGTGATATTAATAACAGTCAATAATTTCTGTAAAACGTTTTTATTGATCAATGTAAATCTAATGGGAAATGATATTTTGTTGATAGCGATTGTCATTCCAATCTAAATGAGTTTACATTTTCTGGAGTTTGATTTAAACTATATTACTTACTTACTTACTTACTTACTTACCTACTCCTGTTACCCACAATGAAGCATAGATCCCCGATCAGTATTCTCCAATCTACTCTATCCTGAGCTTCTCTTTCCAGTTCTGTCCAATTTTTTTTCATTCTTTTCATGTCTGTCTCGATTTCTCGGTGTAATTTGTTCCATGGCCTTCCTCTTTTCCTTTGTCTTTGATGGTTCTATGTGAGGGCTTGTCTTGTGACTCATTTGGGTACTTTCCATAGCTAGTCATTAAACTATTGAAAAAAGTAACTTCAAATAGTCCTTACAAACTTTAAATGACTTATAGTCATATTTGTTCCTATGTTTTGTAGACTTTTTTTCACAGAAATATTATTTTCTTTGAAAAAAACAATCTATTTTACTGATTTCTTTTTTTGATAGTAATCACTTTGGATGGAATCTGTGATTACTTTATTTTGTGCAATATCACGAGTCGATCGAATAGTACTATTACATGTCACATCAACTGATAAGCATTATGTGCATCGTTTCACTGGTAAAAAATGTACTTATTATTAGAAACTCTGAAATTCATTCTTTGTAACAGCTAGATCATGGGGTTGAGTATTATGCGGCTATCAGTCAATCAATTAATCGATCAACAGCAACGTAGAACTTCGTACGTGTGTACATCAGTTCAAGTAGCCATACCACATTAGCACAAAGATGTAACTGCAAATTCAAATCCCATAGTAGTAGAGGTAGTAAAAGTATTAGGAGTAATCGGAGAGATTAGAGTTCGAGCAATTTATTCAAGAAGTAGAATCTAGTGAAAGAAACGTAAAATGAAAAAGATAAAGGTGATGAGGAATTCAGAAATTGAGAGAACACACAGAGTGGGTGTACCTGCGTCACTGCAAACAGTTTCTCGTCATGTCATTCAGGGTCTATAACCATCGATTACTATTATCTCGTGGACCCCAACCAGGTAGTCGACACCTACCGACATGACTCAGTCCACTTGTCAGACCGACAGACAGATACAACGCAGAAATTCGAACATAAGTACATCAGTTCAGGTTGCCATACCACATCAGCACAGAGACGCAACTGTCAGTTCAAATCTAAGAGTGATAGCAATAGTAAAGTATTAGCAGTAATGGAGAAGATTAGGGAGCGAAGATATGATTCGAAAAGTATAATTCAGTAAGATAAATTTAGAAGGAGAAAGGTAGAGATTATGAGGAATGCAGAAACTTAGAATTTCATAGAACACAAAGAGTGGATGCACCTCCTCCAATGCAAACGATTTTGAGCCGTATCGTTCAATATCTCTAACCATCGGTGACTTTCATCTCGTGGAACCCAACCAGGTAGCCTATATCGGTCAACATGACTCAATCAAGTTGTCAGTGATTTCATGGATTTGTGCTATGTTTTGCTTTGGCCGCCACCAGCTTCTTTCCAACCTATTCCTACATCGCAAAACATAACTCGACTAGACAGTTGGTGGTTAGGCGTACGTACCACAAGTCCCAACCAACTCAACTGATGAAGTTTCAATACTTCATCTATTGACCTGCCATCCTTCTCAAGTACCCGTTTCCTAACAACAGCATTGTTTACTCGGTTGTCCCATGATACACAAGCAGTGCTTCGGGGAAACCTATAATCGAAAACAAGCGACCTAAGAATATCCTCTACTCTGAATGGCCATGTTTCATAGCCATAAAGTAGGACGGAGCGAACTACTGCACAATAAACTCGTCCTCTAGTCAGCAAACAGATATCTATGTGGAAGAAAAATTGTAGCGGAAATAATTATTAGTAAGATTTGTAATTTCCCTTCGGTGATATTCAAGATTTTATTTGAAAAGCTATTATTATTGTTAACATAAATATTTTGTTGAAATCAAAAGAACTAAGCGAAATATTTGAATCTCACTAGAGTCTATTATATAAAATTAGTAAATGAAACAAATTGCCAAACAATTCAAGGTTCACACACTTGTTTTAAGGCATACACTGCAGATCGTACTATACAATTTTTCAAACAGAAATACATAAAGAGATTTTCAAACTTGTAATCTAAATTATGGAAATGTGACTAGATTTACTAATAAATTAAATTAAATTAAATTAAATGATCTAACCTTTATCATATAATCACAGTATCATTCGAGTAAAATGAACAAACAGAGAAGAAGATCAGGGAATACATTACACTGAGAATCGGAGGCAGACATCAGAATGTTGAATAGTATTTGGGAACAACTAGAAAGCAGGGCTCGAGACAGATTAGGTTGAAGAATGCTAGTCGGCGGCTTATACTCCATAAGGGGGTGACAGTATTAAGTAAATAAGTAAGTAAATATATGTGACAAGTCTCACTTAAGTCGAAACGCGCGTTGTGAATTTCAGTACTGGCTGCAACCCACATAATCTATAAATAATTATTGCCTACATAATAAAAATATCTTAAATACTTTATCTAGTAGATATTTAAAAGATTGTTGTCACTACCAATGTGGTGCGAG